GGGGGATTTCATTAAGAGCTGACATCAGTTAGAGAACCATTGAGAAGTGGTCGCGCTATGTCATGAATTGACGGAAGTTAGAATTCATGGTTTGGATGGTCATTGGATCGGGTACTGGTGGCTTAACGATCTACAAGCTCGCTAGCCTTGTAACCAAAAGGTCCTGGGTCCGAAACCTGTCGGTGGGCGCTTTATTCTGAATAGTCAGTCCCAAAACAAGGCTTACGAAACAGCTAGCTGGCTGCCCAGTACTCCCAGCTGATTTTCGAATGGTTCTCTAACTGATGTCAGCTCATGATGAAATCTTCCAACCAATCGAACAAAATTCCCCACAAAACCAATACTTGACGGTTATGAATATAGCAAGAACAACAGTGGCTTGTGCAGAATAAAATGCTACCATCATTGTTGATTTCGTTGGCTTCTCATCAGCTGCTTGCTTACAGTCTGAAGACATTATTAAGTTTATCTACAGAAACAATTTTGACAGAATTACGTACACAGAGACTTCATTTTAAACAAAAGCATCAGTGTATGGACATAATAATAATATTAATAATAATAAAAATAGTAATAATAATAGGAGTCACTTTGTCTCAAACAATAATGACCAAACACAATGGAACTCTCGGCGTTACGTAATCAAATGGAAGAGAGGATGAAAATATCCAGTCACCAGGCAGCACAAGGAAAGACTGATGCTAACCACTTCTTTCTGAACACATGAATCGCGTCTCAGACACTTGATGAAGATTACTTCGGCAAACTTGATGAGAATTGAACTCTTCTGTATATTGATAATTTTGAAGGATTTTGCAACGTCCACCTCATGACTGGTATCAAGGCGATGCCTGACAATGGAGCTATTCAAAGCAGTTGTTCCTCGCTGAAGACGTAGGCTTTTAGGTACATATTCAGAAAATCGGAGATGTGTTTGCGTGTCCTTCTTCTTTCTGTTCTCACGATGTAACTGCTCCCGCAGATACATGGAAATTTGCATACGCAGTTGGAGCTAACAATGAGAAGGGTATCTGTTGACTTTTGATTGCACCAAAAAGCATAGAGGGGAACCAACTTAGTTAGTTGCAGGATAGGCTGTGGTTAGTGACATATTCAATGGATTATTCCTGCAGTATTATCAACTTTGAAATCAAGTTGGATGAAAATAGGCTTCTTTTTCCCTGTGTGATTTGTTTGACATTAGAGGTTATACATCTTCCATACTGGTTAATGAACCTCTGAGAGTAACTGTTGTTTTTTGGGATCTTTCCGAGAGTGGTGAATTCCTCCTGTTGCTTTATTCAAATTCAAAAATGGGAATAAATGTATGAAGAATGATATCTGTGTTTTTTTTCAGACCACAATTGCGTTTTGTTGTCAACTTCTTGAATTTCTGTTACATAGGACTATTGTTTAAGCACTGTGGGCGTCGGTGGCACAGTGGTTAGGACTCTCGCCGACCATGCACATGGTCCGGGGTTCGATCCCCTGCCGGCGCACACCCGATATCTATGGTCGGCCTGAATTTGGGCTACCGATATCCATGCTGAAAATTCCACACTTGTACTGAAAATACGGTGTGGAATCAAGCTGTAAATCAAAATAATAAAAAAAAATAAAAAATAATATTTTTCCTTATCAGCTAATCTGATTTTAATACAATATACAGTAATTCCTTATTACTAACCTTATGATGTCTCGAACACACTTCATTGCTCAAAATCACATCAAGATTATCGCACGACTTCTTAGTTTGTTTATTATATATGGTTCGACTTCTTCCTGATTTTCTCTGATATAAGTTTTGATACAAGCAGAATTGATGTTACGCAACACGTGAATGTGTACTGGTGACAATATAAACAGCTTTAAGTTTTTATTTGCAAGTATTTGATTGGTTTCTCGATTTCATCATCAATTGATATCAATTAGAGAACTATTGGAAAACCAACTGGGAGTACCAGACAGCCAGCTAGCTGTTTCGTCAGCCTTGTTTGAGACTGACTCTTCAGTACTGCGCAACCATCATAGTCGTTTTGAACTGAGAACCTTCCGATTACAAGGTGAGTTTGCTTGTGGACCACTGACCCAGTGAGACTCAGCGCAATGACCAGCCAACTCATGAATTCCAACTTCTGCCAATTCACTCACGATTTGGCGCAACTGGAGCTAGTTAATGTCATTGGTGGCGATTATTTGTCTTCACACTCGACCTGCTGTACCTCACTTGTCATGGCTTCCTACAAGAACCCAGTTAAAGCAGGTAGACTGTGAGGAAAAATACGCGCCATCAATGACATTGGCTAGTGTCAGTTGCGCTATATCGTGCGTGAATCGGCAGAAGTTGGAATTCATGGATTGAACATTGGATCGGGTCCCAGTGGCTTAATGGTCTACGAGCTCGCTTGCCTTTTAACCGGAAGGTCATGGGTTAGAACCCTATCGGTGGGTGCGTACTTCCGAAGAGTCCCAAACTAGGGTGACGTAAAAGCTGTCCACTAACTCCCAGATGGTTTTCCAATGGTTCTCTAACCAGTGTCAGCTCATGATGAAGTCCTGTAGCGAATCGAATCCCCGCAAACCAACACTTGAGAATTCTTTTGCATAAATACTTCTGAGTTGTCGTAAAGTATTGGTGAAGAGAATGTATATGTGTGAGTATGTATTGTTAGAAAACTCAGATACTCACTGGATACCTGTAACGCAAACTCAAAGTGACGAATATCATTTACTCAATGACCAACGTTATTCAAAGCATAAATCCACCATTTGGTTCACATTATTGTTTAAACACTTACAAATCAAGATTTTCTATTACTTACAAAAGATAATGCAGAGATTAATAATTCCAAAGATTTATTAACCTACAGCTTCATGATCTAAGTTGATATTCTTATCATCACCGTTTAAGATGAAAGTACCCTCGCCACTTAACATGCAATGATGCGATATTCAGCTGTTCGTGTACGACGCTTAAATAGCTTAAAATGCATCTCCGCTTAAAGGTATCGATCCTGAAATATATTTGATATCGTGGGCGATCAAATTATTGATCATAATTGGTCTATCAAATGTTATTGGTCAGTACAGTAACTGTTAGTTGGAGGATGGTATACAGATTCTTGTCCACACCAAGTAAAATACGAAGTCGTGTCATCCTGGAGAGAATAAAAGATGCACTGGATGCACAACTCCGTCAACTGGAAGAAGCTGGATTCAGGAAAGGCAAATAATATGCTGACTAATTTGTAAGTCTACGCATCATCATCACAGAACAAACCATAGAATGGTAATAAAATCTCAGGTTCATCGAATTCGAGGAGGCCCTCGACAGACACTATTAACCAAGAAGTAATTTGGAAACTACTTCAACATTATGGAGTGCAGTGCAGTGTCCAAATCTTTATCAACCTCATTCAACAGCTGGCTGGCTACATGAGAATGCCAAGTGTCAGGTGATCCACAACGGAAAACTCCATAAGGCATTCGAAGTGAATACAGGAGTAAAACAAGGCTAACTGACTGGCTATTATCACCGATGATATTCGTAATTGTGGTGAACTGGATTATATGGCACAGTATACATGGAGAATGGGAAGACAGGAACACGCTGCATTGATCAATAAGAGGACTGTAGAAGATCTGGGTTTCCAGCGTGGATGATTTATGTTTAATGTCACGCGGACTCGAAGACTTACAGGCAGTCAGGCGAAAACCAACAAACTGGTTGAGGACGCGAGCAGGCGGCGAAGACAGAGGTAGTGAAGATAACTAACCAACTAACCAGCCAAGAGCAATAATGACAACCAGCACCAATCACTGTCAACGGAAGAGATCTGAGAGAATCTGAGAGGAATCTCACCTTCCTTCACTTAACTGCCTAAGAAACATCGTTTCAACCACAGGTAGAATCGGAAGGGCAATATATGTGTTTTCATCACCCTTAAACCAGTGTGGAAATCTTCCGGTCTCACTCAGCCAATATAAAGAACAAGATTCGGATTTTCACTACCACTGTCAAGTCAATTAGTCAGTTCTTCCGAATCGGTCAGAAACGTGCACTGCGCATCAAGAAAAGCATTTCCAATAGGCTACCTCAGACTTTTATCAACAGCTGCCCACTTCGCTGGCTCTCGATTGAAGATCAGATGGCCGGCCGGCCAACAAGAAACTCTGGCTGGCAACAAACTGACACAGAACCTATCGTTCATCAAATATGTAGGAGAAAATGGAGATGGATAGGGCATACGTTTGGGAGGCCGTCGAATGACATCGCGCACTAGCCAGGACATTGCTCGAGTGGGTCGTCAGTCCGAGGGTGACATGGAGGAGATCGTGTGATGATGAGGAGGAGGAGGGGAGATGAGAGATTATGAACAATCGTAGTGTCAGCCGGCTGAAGAGGACATCAGAAAATAGAACGAAGTGGAGATATGTTGATGAAACCAGCCCTACGTCCCAATCGGAATCCAAGGGAATCATAATAATAATAATACACCGAAAATAACATTTTTAAAACTATCTAACGCAATAAATAGCGAAAACACAAAAGAATTTGCAACCAGTACAATCTTAGTAGTAAAATTATTCGACTAATAATAAGTCAAGGTTATTGTCCTAAATTCATTGGACTTGACATATAAACACCATTGTCATTAGAACTATCAGTGTTGTATAATTATTAGGATATGAAAATCGCTGTATGTTTGTGTGTGTGTGTGCGTGTTGGGACAAAACAGACAGAATACAAACTCTATGGTATGTTGCACGTTTCACTTCAACACATATATATCCCCAATTTTCTTTAACACAACTACAAGGGAAACAAATGATTCATTCTTGTACATGTACACATACATTCTACCGCATAATCAATTCACCAATCGCATTGTTTCTGTGCTAGTATATTGATTCGTTATTCATGCATTCATTTTATTCCCTGTGGGCTTCTTCTATATATGTGCATCATTGTGTATGGCACACATGTAAAACTGTTCAGAAAAAAACTATAAATAATACCTGGCAGGAAAGATCAATTCTACAAGTGCACGCACTTTCCTAGTTCATTGACTTCAGGTACACAAACTACAAAGGATAAAAAGACGAAGATAAATTTAACTGGCAGTAGAGATTACACCACTTCTTTAATTGGATACCCTTACAGCCAGTCCTATGGAATATAATCACCAGTATTATTCAAACTATTCCTCAGATATTGACAATGTTGATTATGATGATGATGTGATGCTGAAATTGAGGAATTCAAGCGAAAAACTGAAGCAAGTCGTAGAGCACGTCAAAAAGCTAAACAAGACATTGAACGTGATAGTAAGTTTATAATTTTATTTAAAAAGAAACAAAGAAACACTTGCATTTATTGATTAATTTGATGAAATGGGGATTTATTTTAATTGTATGTAGTCTAGAGGAATCGTTTGTGTTTATCTCGCACTAGTCATTTTTTAAGCATGGTTAACATTAGAAGGATGAGTCTATAGAGAATTAGGCAGATTCGTCTTTACGAGTTGATCACGGATTGATATTAGTAAGAGAACTACTGGAAACCAGCGGGGAGTACTGGACAGTTATTTCATCCTAGTTTGAGAAACATCGGCAGTACGCACCCACTGGGTTCCGAACACATGTGATTAAATAGAAAAATTGACAATGATTACATAACAGAGAAGATCTGTAGCTCAGGCGAATGATTTGCAGTTGGTTGTGTTTTCTGAGGAATTGGTCAGTTTGATTGCGGAGCTTTCGTCGTCCACCCCTTCTAGACAACATCTTCCTTCAGCGCAAGTTTTAGCATAAAATGAACTGATTTAAATTCTCCATGAATGATAGAATTGTATATCCTGGTAACCATTGTTGTGACTGGTAGTCGATTTACATCTGTATTGATCAATTTTTATTGACTTGGAATTCGGACTTTCTTTTCATGTGATTTACTTTTTATTAGCTGGTGGTAAATTTGGTCTATACTAATGTGTTTGTTAATCGCTGGCTGATTCACTTGAGCATCAGGGTTCTTGGAATTCCCAGGTGGCATTCTCGGTGCTTCCTCTATTTAAAATCCCTACATTATCCCAATCATCAAAATGGTGTCTTCAGTTATCTACATGCATTGATATGAAATAATATGTACATCATGTCTTTTTACAGCTAATTTGTGTTCTTGGATTCTGATTCGAAGGGGACGCCCACTTTGACCACCGATGTAATGTTTATTGCAGTTCGTATATGCAATTTATTTTGTAAATGGTATTAATTTTATCTCCTTTTTCTGTTGGATGGCTCTTTTGGTTTGCACAATATCGAATGAAGTGATTGTGCTAGCTGGCTGGCTGGTTGGCTCTTGTGTGTTATATCTATTTCAAACAGTCTCAATATTCTAGCTGTTATTTCAGAGATATTTTTTATATATGGTAGAGTGAATTTTCTTGTGGTCTTTGATGTTGGCTTGTTGTTGGGATTATGACTGGAGTTGAAACACTTTTTGATGAAATTGTGAGAATATCCATTCTTTTTGAAGACGGTTAGTAGGTATTCTTCTTCCATTCTCTTCAACAAACACCGGAGTAATGCTACAGTGTGTTTGTTTTTATATGCTAAAACTTGTGCTGAAGCGATGTTGTCCAGAAGGGGGACGACGACGTAAGCTCCACAATTAAACCAACCAGCTCCTCAGAGAACACAACTAATTGCAAATCAACCAACCACCTGAACTGAAAATTTTCTCTATTATTTAAACAGATGATTACTTCATAATTAGCCGTAATTTTCAAAAAAAAAAATCATTTATTTTTTCATAATTTTCTAGTGGAAAATACAATCACACGAGATGTCCGTCAATTAGCACGTAAAGCATCTGATACTGTACTCAATGAATACGATGAGGCAAGACAAAGAGCTTGGGCAAGAGATCAACAAACTTTGGATTATATTGATGAAATATTAGTAAGTTTTACAGGAATAAAAGTTAATTTTTAAATCAGGTGCAGCAAAAAAATTGTGAATTCACTTTTTAAAAATCATTTGTACACCGACACAGTTAACTAAAACTAGTAAAAACATTAACAGAATTCGATGGATTCTAGTGAACTGACTAGTTGTTTGACAACTTGTACACTCGACTGAGATCAACTTGTAGACACGGGAAAATCAAGGATCATTTAACAACTATCCGACTATAGTGTGAAATATTCCCATTTTCAAGTATTGGTTTTTGTAGGCATTTTGTTTGATTGCATTGTAACCAGAAGGTCCTGGGTTCGAACCCCTGTGGTGGGTGCGTACTGCTGAAGAGTCCCAAACTAGGCTGACGAAACAGCTGTCCAGTACTCCCTGTTGGTTTTCCAGTGGTTCTCTAACTGATGTCAGCTCATGATGAAATCCTCCATGCAATCAAATATTCCCATATCACGTAAACTAAAAGTCAGTCTGAACGAAGAATATTCTTTTCAATAATTTCTCTACTTCAGGTTCTTACACAATTATAAAATATAACATTTGTTGTCGTTACAATAATGGTCCAGTTATGGAGTGTCAAAATAAATATCATTAGTATTTAAGTGACAAATGTGATAGGCTGAAATCGATTACAAAATATTGTGAAATGGGAGACAGTGGTGGTGATTAGTCATAATAGATTCGTAGAATGTGGAGTGGGGTAGAAGAAATTGACAAGACAGTTCAAGGTTATAAAAGGTGTCAGGTGAGTGAGTGGCTGGTACAAAGTGGTATGTATTAAAGAGGAGGAGATAGTAAGACTGCAATGAGAGGTTCATAATGAAATAACGAATGTGTGAAATGAAACAGGTGAAGGCATATATTGAGAAAAGAGATAATATCACTAATAATAATAAGTCCGGATAGTATAAATGGAAAATTCGATAGTATTGAGAGAATGTTTGAATGAAGGGTATAAATTATGACGAATAATAATAATAATTGTAATAATAAGCAAAGAGAAAAAAACCAAGAAAGTTAAGGGGAAGAAGCACTCTTGGTGAGAAGAAGAATCATCAATCCGAGTTTGGTCACGGTAGGAGCACAGTCTGAACGAGCTCCTTTTGGATACATAGTAAGGGTTTGGTCGATCTTATTGCAACAAATTCAGCTTTGTATAGGATACTTAAGCAAAATGTACGTGATAATGACTTCAGAATTTTGTAGATAACTCTGAAAGCTGTTTTGGCGTCAATGCGATGTCCAGTATCGACCAAGTGTGACAGGATCGACCTTTTCATTCACTTAATTTCCCCCCTGCTGAACCAAGCTTGTAAATGTTATCGAACGCGTAGACGAAGCTGCCTAATCTACGCCCTATATAACTTGAACCAAAGGAACAGTTGACATTGTATATGCATGAAGAAGAACTAAGTTTAGGTAAGACATCTTTTATTTACTGAGTGAACATTGGACGGTTACTTAAGGATAGGTACAGATATGCAGAGTAGAAAGCTTTCTTTATCACCCTGGTTAAACGTTGCAGTAGAATCTCCACAGGAGTATCACTCTTGAATTGTAGACGTAAAAAAGGAGGCCTTTTCTCCACCGTTACCAGCTCATGTTTACGACTATTGTAACCTATGTTGACTTTAATGAACTTCTTTGGATATCCGTTCTCGCTTAGAATGTCTCGGATGACGTGGAATTCTTTCTCTACACAGTCTTCGAGACAAATGAATCTCACCCTAAATGCTAAGCACCTGAACAGATTACGTTTGTGTTTCACCGATACGAAGCTAAGGAAGTGTGTATACTGAGCTTTGGTCTCTAGCTTTCTAAATGTGGTTCTTTTGACTGAACCATTCTGTCTTCTCGTTAGTAGGACGTGGAGGAAGTGCAGAGAGTCGTTGTATTCTCCGACTATAGTTCAGTTGCACTTAATAACAATGGGTTTCACAGTAAGTTGAATACAATCCAAAACAGTATACTGGAACCCATCATCTACTTACACTTTAATCGAAATCAATTCATCAAGGTCTGCATTCAACAGACTTATTGTCTGTTTTTTACTTTATTGGTATATTAGGTCAGTGAGTCTTTTCAGTCTGTTATAAAAACATTATTTTATGCAGAATAAATCGAATTCATGATGCTTCGATGATAATTTAATTAACACATACACTGTGAACATAAAATTGATGTATATTCAGAACTGTAGATATGAAAGTATGATAGAGAAACGAAATGTTTGAAAGGCGATAAAGAGCTTCGATTGGATACTGGCCAGTGATTAGTGTAATATGTCTGGTCCTATCTTTGTTGCAGACTGAATTCTATCAATCAAGTTTGCAATGTGACGGCCACCATGTCACCAGGTAGCTCGTCATCACAGTGTACTTTGAATTTTTGGTATTAGATGGTCGAAGGCAATCGGCAGGAAACCTTCCTGGGGGACCTACCTAGGTTTCTTGCTAGTTGGCACTCACCACCACCACCAGTCAGCAAGGCGGCGTATCTGCAAATCTTTGAAGGAAGGAACTCTTATCCCCTCTGAGATTCTAACCTGTATCATCTATTGCTGCTGGTGGCCACCTTGCAAATTTGACTGATAGGATTCAGTCTGAACCAAAGATAGGACTGGGTATATGACACTAGTAACTGACTAGTGTCCAATCAAAAGTACCCAATACAACCCATAGCAGGTCGATCACAAGCCCGAATAGCTGCTCAGTGGTAACGCCACTGACCGACTGTAAGTGGCACTACTTAATGGCACGGGTTCCAATATCAGAAGGGAAAATAATTCCTTCAGGGTTACAGATACCCCGTCTTGCGGACTGACCGGTGGGTGCCAACTAGCACGAAACCTAGGTCCGGGAAAAGCTTCCTGCCAATATCCTCCACTCATCTAAAAAGCTCTTTTTTAGACAAAATGAATGGTAACGAAATGTGGTATTTGCATTTTGACAGATTGAGGGAAAGAAAACTTTTTTTCGTTTAGATTTTCCCCAGTGGCCCCACACAAGGAAATAAATTCACAACTAACATTAAACTAGGGATAATTAGTGGTAATTATACACTCTGGAGAGTTAATAGAAAGACTAATTTTCAGAATAATCAACAGATTTATTAGATACCGTTATAAATGCCAATTTATGTCTATGATACAGGTTTGTTTTATTCCTTTACTTTCTCAGTGGAAGATAAAGGGTTTCAAGGTAGGGCTTTGAATTTTCAGTAGCGATGGTATTTATTTTTACAGGATGGGGTCGTTGGCCTCATTCCCCCCATTAACCTTCCCTCTTTATCAGTTTTATTACTTGCTTAGCGAGGTAAAGGAGTGCGTTGGTGCCCAAGGATCGAACCTCGGACCACAGGCGTGGTCGGCGAGCATTCTACCGCTGTGTCACCGACGCACCGTAATACAGGTTATGACATCACAAATTAGACGATAACTGCATAATCACAAAATAATGCAATTTGTGAAATATCTAACAGTTTGACCACGGATTGATATCAGTTAGAGAACCATTGAAAACCAGCACTGGAGTAATGGACAGCCAGCTGTTTCATCAGCTTAGTTTGGGAATCATCGGCAGTACGCACCCACACTGCAGGGTCCGAACTCAGGACCTTCCGGTTACAACACCCTTATGATGAAGCTAAATTACTTAAATAGCTACTGAAATCCAAGACACACGGCGCAGATGATTCATCCTACTTTTTTTCTGATTACAGATTGATTCTACACCGTATTTTCGGTATGGAATTTTCAGCATGTGATACTAGCAGCCAATTCCGACCGTTGATATCGGGTGTGCGTTGGCAGGCGATCGACCCAGGAGCATATGCATGGCTGGCGAGGGTCCGTCGTGCTGCCGACGCACTTCGGGACTATTTAGTAATGCAAACCACTGTATATTCACCAGCCTCAAAGATGTGTATTGATAAAGATTCCTAGCACTTCTTAATTTGAATTCAGTTTACGAAAAAGTTCACCTTAAACTCAGCAACAAAGCTAAATACCAATGATATAGTTGGCAATGGCAAAGGAAGTGGCTGTACGAATTTCTTTTGAACACACAAACAGATTTGGCTTATTCAAATGAATTCCGACTGCCTCTGCTGTATGTAAAAGTTGTACTCACAGACCATAAGGTGAAAGGTTGAATGAAATACGATAAATAACTTTAAAGGCTTCGTAGAGTCAACTTGATGTCCATCTCATCGACGCGATGAGCTAGTATTGAGCTGCGTATAACAGCATTATTCGAACCTTTGTCAAACCAAGATGGGAGATGTTCAGAAATTTGACGATGAACTTACCTGATTGTACACCCTATGTAACTATCTCCTCGCACAAGCAGTTCAACTGGTAAATACACATGGAAAAGGCGAAACAGGGCAGTTTATCTTTATTTCTTGAACTAAGTATTGGTTGGTTAGTGAATATATAGCATAGTTTAGCTGCTTTGAAAGTCCTTTTGAGAAGGCCCTTTTACAGTTACCTAACGTATATTACACAATCTCTCCCTGCATGGTCTACGAATACGACTTTTACATACAGTAGAGGCAATTGGAATTCAACTGAACAAGCCAAATCTGTGCGTTCAAACGAAATTCGTACAGCCCCTTTCTCTGCCATGGCCAACTAACTGCATAATGTGTATTGAGTTTTTAAAAACGATTTCTTCCCTCCCCTTGTAACAATCTCATCTTTTCACTTTATTACTTTTGCAATTCTGGCCAATTCTATCAACTTGTTTGTTTATATTTTACGTAATTCTTCTTAGGCATCATTGCTATTTTACAAATTTCTTGATAATGTAATAATGACTTGTTACTAACGCCTATGAATTAGCTTATCTTGAATTCCGTAAATAATCAATTTTCACCCCTTCCTCCTTCAAAACTTAGATATCTTGTTACTAACATCTATTAGTTAATTGATGTTTTGATAACTTTTAACCTCTTAATTTCACCCAACCCCATCGGCCTATACCTAA